GTTCTACCCCGTATCATATGCAACTCTCTACTCCTCCTATCCTGTTTTTCAGCCCTCATTTCCATCTCCTTACTCCTAAGAGAATCTACGACAATTTCAGGTGTTAACATGTCCCTACCATACTTAATGACATTTTTAACTTTTTTATAAGAGTCAGGGATTGAATTGAGCAAGATAATGGCCTTATAGGTTTCAGACACGGCTTCGTCACAATTGACAATATCTTGCACCAATTTGTTAAATACATCTAAATTGTCGTCGAGATCCTTTGAAGGATCCATTTTAAAGTTGAAGAATCATTCGAGTAGATAGAGTTTATTCGGTGTAGATTTAAGCAAGTATAAGTCTTCTAGTCTTTTCCAAAGTTCTTTGGTGGTTTTTAGTTTTCTCACTTTTTTTAAGACAACGTCAGACAAGTGTAATATTATTGAGGTATAGGCAAGCTCATCGGCTTCCTCTTTTTGTTTTTTGAGATATCAGGTGCAAAATTGCCTTCGATGGCTTTTGACACCTTTTGTTGGATTAATATGTCTCTCATCTTTTGTTGCCAGATAGAGAAGTCCCCTTTACCGTTAAAAATTCCTAAATCAAAATTATGTGTTGTCATTGGTTAACACATTAATTAAGCCACACGAAATAGTATTGAGAAGCGTGATAAAATAATATCTTGTTAATTCTTAGTAAAAGTAACAATTAGCCTAAACGCTACTTCCACCAAGAAATACCAAGCACTTTAAATCAAAAGAACAAGCACTCAATTAACGCAAGTAATCCTAGTTCTGGCACAAGCAATGGTTACCCCTTCACGATAACTCCAAAACCTAACGATCACCCCACACGATAATCTTGCTATTGCTGAATTTAAATGGATTAAGCCAATTTACTAGAGCGGACCTATCTGAGTCCGTAGAGTGGAGAAAAACGAGCTTGCTGTTGAATTTCAGCCGTCATCGCACCAGGGGAAAATCGTCCAACTTTTTCTGTGTAACCTGAAACACAAAACAAAGTATATCAGCGCGTTCAGGAGAACGAAACAAGCAAGTTACCTGAAGACAACGTCGCCGGACAGCCGCCCACGCGCCGCCACCATCAGCCCACGCGCCGCCGTCGCCGTCCACGCGCCGCCTCTCCGGGAGCGCCTCGACCTGCTGGTGATGGGTATGGCCTCCGTTTGTCCAACCGAGTTTTGGTTTGTGAGTAATTGATAATTTTCAGATTCGGGTTCTAAGGTTTATGTCCGAAAATCAGTCGATTTTGAGCCAATTTTTGCTACCCAAGCTCTGATACCAGATGTTAGGATCTTCCTCAAGCTGCTCAAAGTGATTTCCGGGCTCAGTTAACCATTAAACATCAAATTCAACACCAAAATCGAGAGATGACCGACTGCCGACGTCTGCCTTCCTATGGTTGCTATTTGCTCTTTTGCTTGTTGATTCTACCACACACTTAGGATGGATACCACACAGGTAAGAGTCACAATGTCTCAAGCAATTGGTAGGGAAGATAACTTGGCAGGAAGCATGAAGGAGAAGAAGAAGAATAACACCTCTCTCTCTCGGGTTCTCTTCAAGCACGGCACAAAGGAATAGGGGTTAACTACCAATATATATATTAGTTAAATGGCCAACTTAAGGTAAGTCACAATATGGTAAGTATGCTCGACTAGGGTTAAGTCCCAATAGAGAAACAACAAGCCACAAAGAGAATTAGCCATCCAATAGGTAAAGCAACGTTAGGTCGGTTCATCCATTATTTGATGTTGAGTTATCGTTCAGTAATTCATGTCGACTGATAAAATTGGTTTTCATCATCGCCCGGGAGGTCGTTTGACAACATGATATCTAACATTGATTTTCAACAAATCTTGAGAAATCTACAATTTGTACGCCAATGAAAACACAATAAATACAAAACTCGTACAGTGCACGTAACAAAGACTAGTTTCTATAATTACTTGAATAAATTGATATCGCTATAGATTTGTATATGAAACTCGTTGGAATGTGTCCATCAGCAAAATGCACTTGGTAATTGGTATTTCAATACCTCACCAATTGAACAAAATTTTATTTTCCCTTCATTGAGCAGCAACAACCTAAAGAGATTTAAATGTACTTGATAAATAACCATGATTTGTAAAGCTAAGATTGCTAAGTTTTTAATGTACAAAACCTATTTTGGTATGAATTAATTTTTAAAAGTTAACATGCTATTTGGAGCAATTGCTAGTAGAAATTTCTCAAACCTAAAATATTTTGAGATCCATAAATCAAAAAAAATGTGTTTCCATATATATATATATATATATATATATATATTTATATTTCCAATGCCATCGTCATGTCTTTTTTTTTTCTTCTCTCTCTCAATAGATTCAGAATCTTACAAGACACTATTAACACTTGCTTGGGAGTTTTGGAATACTCGTTATGTAAGTTTTTAGAGTATATTTCCAATGCCATCATCATGTTTTTTCAAGAAATTGAAAATCTAACAAGAAACTATTAGTGCTTGCTTAGGGCATCTCCAGTGTGAACCCCGAATCACCAAAATGCATCATTTTTTGGTGCAAAATAGCTCCAATGCACCACTATACTTTGCCCTTTTCTTCTCCTTTTTCCTAATAAATTGATGAAGGGTAGTTGTATCATTAATACAATAAATTATTATTATTATTATTATTATTATTATTATTGTTATTGTTATTGTTATTGTTATTGTTATTGTTATTTGCATTTAAAATAAAATTTAAATGTAAGAAATAATAATTAATGAATTAATTAAAAGAAGAAAAAATTTTAAATATAATAAACGTGATTATTTATTAAAGTTAACACGAAATATATTAAGCAACGACATACATACGGTAATCTAATTTTATTTAAAGAAAACGATACATAAAAAAATGCATAATTTAGTAATCTGGAAGATCGTTTCCAGATCCGCCAATATCGTCAAAATAATTTCCAAACAAGCCATGTGAACTTTCAAATCCTCTATCTTGTTGTTGAGATTTCTTCTGGCAAATTCTTGCTTGTTCATTTTGTAAGAACAAACGTAGGTTTGGATCTGTCATTGAACTCAAATCTTTTAATAAAATTTTATTTTCTTTATGATATTCTATCATTGCCAATTTCCTTTTTTGGATTTTGTAATTCTGATATCTTTCTTCACTACTTCTTTCCATAATTTCGAGAATTTGTCGATTGTCTTATTGATAATATCCAAATTCAAAATGTATTGTACTATTTTCTGATGACATAATTATAAATTTAATTGTGGTAGTGTTTTTATTAATTGTACTATATATTTTTATATTTATTAATGAGTTTAATATTTTTCGTAATTTAACGTAATTATTTATTTAGTAATTTATGTATTTATAATATAATTAAATAAATAAATTATAAAGAATAAAAAAAGAAAGAAAATGGTTAAATATTGTTCATTTGGTGTAAATTTTGGCATAATGGTTAGTGATGAATTTTAGTTTGATACAAGATGTAGTGTAAAATTTGGTGTAGTACTAGAGATGACCTTACATGTAAGTTTTTAGAGTATTAGTTTTAAACGTTTCATGAGAAGATCGATTTTAAGTAATTTTTATAATGATTTCAAAAATAGTCCAAATTATAAAGTATATTATCCAATGATTTTTTTTTCAAAATAATAAAATAATAAATGTTCATATATGAAAAAATAGGTATGTGTAAGCTATTTACTGAAATTTCAATTTATAATTCCTTTATATGAATTTTTTTAGTAATAAATACTATTTTACGTAAAAGTTAAATTTGAACTTAAAAAGAGAAAATTTACTTATAAATAAAATTTAATTTATAAGTAATATTTTACCTATAAGTACATTTTACAGTTGTAAGTTAATGTTGTATTATAAGTAATTTTTTTTCATGGAATTTTTAATATTTTATTAGTATTATTTTTTACTTTATAAGCAATTTTTACAAAAAAGTGAATTCTTCTATTATAAGTGATTACTAATAAATAAATTTTCTTAGAACCATGCTTGGTGTAAAATGCTGATCGACAACATTGTTGATAACATGTCACGTGGCATGTTGTCATTGAACAGTTTGAAAATTTGTATATTTTTTCAACCAACAATTTTTTGACACATTAACATTATTAATCAATGTGGTCATCCTACATTGTATAAATAACATAATTAATTGTTTTCAAAATAAATTTTTTATGAGTAAAATTTTTAGTTATTATATTTTAAATTTATAATTTTTTTTGAGTATATAATTGGATTTTTGTCTTGATTTAGATATGATAAAACTGAAAGAGAAATTGGAAAAAAAATGTAAAAAAATCACTTTATTTGGGATGCTGAAAAATACGACTCAAATTTCACTATACTTAAAACACCCAAAATAAGTGCTCAAAAAATTAATAAACATTTATTTTCTCAACATTTCATAAACGGTGTCACCAAAAAATGATTTAAACCGGAGGAAAAAAAAAAAAAAAAAACTCCCAGGCTGTAATCGAGACAGATTAATTTTTAGAATTATAATTAAAAGTTTATAGATCAACTTTTTTCTTTTTTAAAAGTTTGATACCAACTTACTGCTCAAGCAATAAGTTGAGAACCAAATTTTCTCATTACCTCCTACTTTTGAGTTAATTGTTCCAATGTGACATGAAATTAGGTTCGTATTTTTTATTGGTCACTCAAGTTTAATTTATCGAGTTTTAATCATTATACTTAGGTCTATATTTTTTATTGTCTACTGAAGTTTAAAATGTCAAATTTTGATCAATTAATTTTGAAAAATATTGTACGTTATTCATTGTAAATTCGATATTTTTTAAAATTCAATATTTATATTAGTGAGTAACGTATAATATTTTTTAAAATTTAATTGTTGAAACTCAACATTTGAAATTTCTGTAAGTAATTGAAGACATAAATATAAATTTAAATGATCAAAATTCGTTATTTTAAATTTTAGACCATTGGAACAGTTAACTCATTCGCTTACAGTTTAACTTTTAGCGACTCCACCACTAAGTTTCCTCCCCAACACCGCCGCCCATGGAGGAGCAACGCCTTGCGGAGATCCATCAGGCCTTCAGCCAAAACCACAATCTCCCTAACAAAATTCTAAACCTAGCTCTCTCTCTCATCACCAGCCCTTTTAGTTCTTACTCCACTCTCTCTTCTCTACTTGACACACTGACCATCTGCCTCCAAAACCCTGCCTCCGATCATACTAATCACCACCGTGTTCTCTCTCTGGTCTCTTCCCTTTCTCACCACCACCCCCACTTCCGCCACCAAATTATCACCATCGTCCGTGCATTTATCTACCTCCCTAGCACACCGTCTTCTTCCCTGCACTATGCCCTCTCCGTCCTCCTTTCCGCAAATACCAAACTTAACTTTCCACCTGGTTCTACTGAGACTACCGACCCCCTTGCTGATGAAAGTCTGTTCCTTTCTCTGTGTTTTGGTCAATCTGTTGCTGCAAGGTGTATATTGCTGCGGAATGTTAGTAAATTTTGCGTGAGGCCATCGGTATTGCTCCCTGTTTTACTCGGGTTCACGAGGGATCCATATCCTAAAATCCGGGAAGTTGCCTTGGATGGTTTGGTAGAATTGAGTAATTGCATTATGGTCGAAGATCAAAGTCTAATAGAAAGTTGTTATTTTCGTGCTGTGGAACTTCTGCTTGACTGCGATGACCCTGTTAGGCGCTCAGCTGTGCGCACGGTAAAATTCTAATCCTGATTCATAAAAAGGCTTTCATTTACCAGTTTGCAGTATTTATTTTTGCCTGATTAGCCTAAAAGGTGTTGTTTGCAAGTTTGTATTTAGTAGTTCGGCTATTAAGTTCCGACACAATCATCGGTTATATTTTGTTCCAGTATTCCAGCTTAAATTTTTCCATGAAGTAATATACAAATTTAGTCAATTTAGATTTTCTGTAGTTCTCAATCTATTGAAAATCATGATAGGCATATCAGCTACAAGCATGATCAAATATTTTATAATTACAATGCTCCAACTCAAACACGCATGAGTTGCAATCTACTGGTGATCTAATTGTTGTATAAGCTCTATCCAAAATTTAGCACACGTATTCAATCAAGAGCAGCGCAAGAAATTTTGGACATAGGATATGGTAATAGCTCTTATGAGGTTGTACTGAAAATGCTTTATTCAGAATTTGACATTAGACAATAGATAGAGTAGTACATTTTCGAGAAAGACTTATCTATGTATTTTACTTCCTTTTTTCACCTTTATCTTTATCTTTTGCTTTCTTTTACTTTCACTGGGAAAGAGAATGATTTGGAGATAGTTTACACTTTATGTGCAAAAAGCTACAGCTTATGTATTTTTATTTATTTATTTATTTATTTTTTTTGGATACAGGTTAGCGAGTGGGGGCGGTTGCTTGTAGCATTCAACCAAGATCAAAGTAAAAAAGAATGTTCTGATGCAGTGTTTATACAGGTATTTCGACTGAGTTTCTCCTTCATGGTATGATTTGATAGTTGAGTCTTGTAAATGATTTCATGGAAAGTTCTAATGTGAATTGCTGACACATTCATGAGCTGATGGGTCTATGTATTTTTAGATTGCCATTAATCCTTATGCTCTTTGTTGACAGCATTTTTAACTTTCAAGAGCATTATTTGCATGTGTTGATCATAAATTAGTAATTCCGTTGGGGAGTGAGCAAGCAACTGCATGAGAAGATTCCATTGTCTAATTAGTGACAATCTTTGCCGTGGTGCTTAAGTCTTTCCATTGGTATCTTGTGAATGGGAATGCAGATTTAATCACATTTAGGCTTCTCAAAATGTACTCTGTGTGTGTGGTTTTTTTTTTGGGGGTGGGAGGTGGGGGTGGGCACCGGGAACCTGCACTTGATCTGTGTGTGTTTTCTCCTTCTCATGCACTGTTGCTTATTACACCATATATATTGCAAAATTATGTTATTCTCCCAGTTGTTTATTAAATTAATGTGATTTTTCTCATCTTGCTGCAATGATATCCATCATGACAAAGTACATTTTTTTCCTTAATATTTGGCTTTCATTAGCTAGTATCATATATGATTGCAGCTTTGTTCAATGGTAAGAGACATGGACATGAAGATCAGAGTTGTTGCTTTTGATGCCCTGGGGAAAATTAGAATGGTTTCAGAAGATATTCTGTTACAAACGTTATCTAAGAGGACTCTGCCTAAAATAAAAGAGGATAGATACTATGGCCAGTTCACTGCAAAGCTGCCTAAAATATCTGGGGCTGCATTTGCTTTTGTACATGGGTTAGAGGATGAATTTCATGAGGTAATATTTTATATACATTTGTAATTCCAATTTTTTCTTTTCAAACTCTCCGTCAATGGATAACCATCTTTGAACTTCACAGGAATGCATATCTGTATCAGAGACAATACAGATTTATATAACCATTGTCCATAATTAACTTGCTTGCCTGTGTACCCTTGTATTTATTAGCTGATGTTCTGAGCGATATGGTGATGTATATCTGTGATTATTTAACTTAATTGAAGGTAAGAAGATCTGCCTGCCATTCCTTGTGCATGCTGACAGCTTTTTCCACTGAGTTTGCTCGTCAAGCTGTAAATATAGTAATGGATATGCTGAATGATGATTCAGTGGTTGTAAGGTTGCAAGCATTGGAGACAGTACGCTATATGGCTATATCTGACCATCTGATGGTGGAAGAAACGATCTTACATAGGGTGAATTTCTGATCTCTCTAAATCAGATTCTGGTCATGAAACTTTTCAATATTATATTATTCTACCTGAAGTGTCTCAACAATGTATTTTTTGTTTGACGTTCTTATGGACTTCCATTTTTTTCTTGAGTTGCATTTGTCATCTTTTACTGCTACGTTCCCATTAGTATCTCGGTTCCCATTCTGGGTTGACAGATTTCTTTTTGCCCAGTGAGTTGCATTTTTCCTACTCATGTTCCATTTTTGTATCTTCTTCTGTTTGAATTTGGAGTGTATTGAATGTAAAGGAGCTGATGAAAGTGACTGGATTAATTCTCGGCTTCGAAGAATAGTGGTTTAGCATCTTGGTCAAATGTAGAAACTAATGTAGTCAAACTTACCGACTCAATTTAAAAAATTTTAAAGTAAATTTTCTTTGTATGCACAAAAGTTCGTATCAGATGCCCTAAATTTTTTATTTTTTAGCATCAGTTTTGGATTCATATTCTGATCCACTTGATTTTTTGGTGAACTTCTTTTTCTAGTTTTTATTCCTTGTTCCCCGTAACATTGACTATTTTTTTCTGGTAACATTGATTAGATTTATATTTGAAGCATGAATAGATGAACTTTGCAAGATGTAGCTCCAGAGGTGGTCACTTAATGTTGTGTTTTTTGCAGTTCCTTGGCACTCTGCTTGACAGAAATGACTCCATCAGATCTGCTGCAAGGAATACTCTCCAATCAATGAAGTTGCAGAATCTGGCCATGTTTAGGTTAGGCCTAAATTCCTTAATGAAGAATTTGGAATTTTATCCACAGGTGTGTTGCTTCTGAATCGTGATTCTTTCTTTGATGATCAATGTATACTTATGTATGTATATTTATGCATTTGGACAATTTCTTTGCTCCATATGTTGACGAGGAACCTTCCGGGGGTGGGGGGGACACTTAAGCTTCTAAGCTCTTTTGCTAAAGTATTGCATCATTGATATTTGGATTTGTGCTTTATAAGTATGGATATCCCATTGTAGTCGTACTTGTCTAACCAATATTTTGTTTAATTTCTCATCTCCCAATACTGCAGGATGAAGCTGATCTATTTTTTATTTTGTTTAAACTTGGTCGAACTCATGGGAAATTTGTGGGCAGCATAATTCGAGATGTTTTTCATGAGGTTAGTAGAGCTTTAAAAATGCTTGTAGATCTACTTTAATGCTAGCTGACTGGGTAGTCTGGGTTAACATCTGTTAAGTAGGGAATATATGCATTGAGAGTCCAATATGTTTCATTACCATAATATTGGAACCTGCCTTATCGTTCACAAATTAGAAAATATGGGGGACTATTTTTTACATAATGCGGAGAGATTTCATCTTTCAACAGATGCTTTTTAATAGAACTTGTGAAATCCTATCCTGGGAATGAAAAGGAGTTCTGGTTGTAGGTAGTTGTCTCATAACAGTTTAATGGAAACAATACTTTTTCTTTTTAAACTTACTTCTAATTCTATTTGTAAATACTATCTTGCATCCATCACATCTAGTTGATTAGCTCCATATGGCACGCGAACCCGGTCAACTATTTTCACTCAGCAGGGTTTGGCGATGTCCATATGCTTTTGGAGGAGCATCTTTTTAGAAATTCATCTATTCTAGATACATGCCCCATGTTTAGAATAGACGGGGCTAGGGCGGGATGTTCGGCCTGCTTCTTGGCATCCTTATTTGTTTGATGACTTAGATTTAGGTAATTGCCTAGTTGGCTCTGGTAGGCACTGGATTAAAGGAAAAATGGTCGATTTTTTTCTTCAATTTTTTATAATTGGCCAATCGGGGAAGGGTGAGGCGGGGATCACGTTCCCCTGCCTCAATCGGGGCAGTAACTATTGCCCCAAAACCACCTTCATTAACCGGGGAATCCCTGCCTCACATGGGGTGGGCACTGCAGGGATCTCCTTGGTCCAGTTTTTTGCCATTCATTGGTTTTGTTATATTTTGAAGCATGCTGCATTCTATCTGCATGTTTGAGTTCAAGGGCCGTTAGTCCTGTTACTATATTATTTGTGATTCTCATGGCTCTCTGTGGTTCTCCTCCCTTTTATATTTTTTTGGCTATGAAGTGTACTTTCTCTCCAAGTTTCAAAAGCATACTTTCATGTGTTTGAATCTTCTCAGGACCTTTACCAATGGAAACTATTAATTGATCAACTGTCATAGCTTTGTCTCATTATGTTCATGTATGCCTCAGTTGGAGCCTTCTTTTGATGGTAAGCTGGGATTTGACAATGCGAGGACAGTAGCATTATTAGTGTTGGGCATCTCAGCTTCAGTCTCATTTGAACGGCAAATTTGTACAGTTCCTCCGCAAATATTTTCTTATGCTGTTACAGAATTGGGGAGGATCTCTCGTGCTTTATCTGATGTGGTGAACCAGAATAGTCTTTTGGCTTATTTGTCTCATTGCAGCAGATTCACAGTTGTCTCTGCTTCTGAGTTCTTTAAAGGGGAAGAACCAGCCTTACAGCTGGAGCAAAGTGATTTTCTCTTGTGCCAAAAAAGCAACGAGAGCTCTGAAGCTTATTTAACAAGTCCGCTTCTAGATTACCTGGCAAACTTGCATGATAGAGTAACAAGCTGTGTGAAGATTGTCCTTCGAAAAATCTCTGATATCTGGCGATTGATAGAACTTGGATGCATGGGTGAAGTAATTCAAACGTTAAGGTTCTGATTCTATTCTCTGTTGCTACCAAAGTTTATCAATGTTTAATCTTGGATGCCTTCTTTAACTGCAAAATTGGCTTCGCAGTTGTCTATTCGGCAGATAATGAAGAGTGTATTCATTATTTCTAAGCTATATTACCAATATAGTAGCAAGGATAATTTGCCAATGAAGATGGTAGTTTTATCACTTTTAGGTGATTGATTGGACTGCCTTGGTAGGATTACTATTTTAAGTCTTTAAGTCAATTTAGACACCCGAAAGTATAGCACTGATGCAATTGTAAAAATATAAATTCCTTAATTCTAGAAATTTTTTGTGAAGGATAATAAGTGGACTTAAATTTGTGCAGGAACTGGAAGGAAGAGTTTTCAAAGTTGACCAATTACTCGCCACAGACTGTTGGCATCTTAGCTTTTACTTCAAAATATATACATGTCATAAAACTACTTGGAAAGGTGTGGTCACACATTTTGCCATCCGGAAATCTCAGGTACCATGGAATGGGAGTGTTGGAGGTTCTATTGGGTAAAATCGACGAGAGACTCCAAGAGATGTGGTACAGGTTCACGGGATTGAGCAGAGAGGAGGAGTTGCATCTATTAGAGATAATGCTTTTGAGTTGTGTGTTGAGAATATCTTATTTAGAGACCTGCAACTTTGATGCTAGTTTAAAGAAGATCTGTACTATAATTTCACGTGTTGAAAATCTTTGTAAAGAAGGAGCCATAGAACTTTCTAATTTTGTAATTGACCTTCAGAAATTGTTGAGTGACATTGGCAATTCCAGCTATGGGGTGTTCGAAAATGTTCATCTGCTTCGTAAGTCTCTCAAGTGTTTCTCGCCGAGGCAGATTGTCTTGAGTGGAGAAATCAAACACCTAGAGGCTGAACTTAATGTTCATGACAATGATTTCCAAAATCCTCTTCCTTTCGTTTCAGGGTTACCTGTAGGCATACCATTCGAAATCACATTGTATAACCTTACTCCTGAAAAGCGATTATGGCTTACTATGTCTGTAGATGGAAACTCAACTCAGTTTGTCTTCCTCGACTTGCATGAATTCGGAGGATGTGATGAAATCATGAAGTTTACATTTGTTGCACCTTTTTATGGAACCCCTAGGGTGAAGTACTTCTCCTTGAAGGTACGCATTGCCATGGAATGCTTGTCTGAGGGTGTTCGACTCTTCAACTATTGTGAAGGACCAAAACGTGAGCTTATTTTCCTTTGCAAGGAGAATGAAGTGCATCTATCCACACCTATCAAGTAGTGGACTGAGCTTCGTGCTGTTCAGGTGGACAAGAGTAGTGTTTTATTTAATATTTATGGATATTTGTACACTTGCTCAAAGTTTGTCAACACTCTGTTGACCATAGACCCATAATTTCGACAGATTCTTTGAAATTATTTAAATATTGGCTAAAGAAATTCACGCTTGTCAGGCAGAGGGCATTCTCAGTTGGCCAACTGTCAAATTCTTAGGTATAGATTCAATAGCTAAGATATCTGTTTGCTGTTATTTATTTTAAATCGATACCTTCGTTTCCACTGAAAGTTAATGTGCTAAATTGAATATGGCTTTGAAGTTTGAAGTGAAGAAACCTACACGTTCTGCTGCTTGGAAATTGTTCACAAGCAGTCTCCACATTGATTTCCTGCCTGAAACAAATCCACCAAAAAAATAAAAGTGGAACAATCAGTTTACATGCTTTGGAGGTCTCTTCCAGTGGCTTGGTATGATTTCTGTTAAATTTCCAGATTTGTAATCTACATATTTCTGTTTAGTTATGTTGAATTTTTGTCATATCCTTTATTTCTTCATGCCTTTTTCAGTTGCTTGAAAAGATTATTTGGCCTAATCAAATTGGCTGGTAAACTATATTTGAAGTGTGAAGACTCTGTCACGGCTTTGATCCTTCGCTGCTAATGCATGTCACATAGAATTTCACCGATTTGGTTAGTGTTACGAACTCGGCTGGAACCAGCATGTTATTTATCATGGATTGTAAAAGATACCTGAAGGTGCTCTGATATGGAATAAAATCCTGACTGCGGAAGGCGTACTTGGTAATTTATTTGCTCTTCTGGATTTGTTTTTATTCAATGAACATGATTAGGAAATCTTTTCTGTTCTTGAATTTCAGGATTACTTATGTGGGCCATGCTCTGTTACAGTCAAGATTTAATAACATATGGTGGTAAAACATCTTGCTGCCTGCCCAAAAAAGAATCTGCAATCGTCAGAAGAGCAAGGCAAGATATTTGGATCATGATATGATGTACCTGAATTGAATATTAAATGCAAAGGTGGAATTCATAGATATGGCAATTCCTTTTATAATAAGAAGCAGGAGCGCTTGGGGTATTAACTTGTGGTTGAATTGTCATTAGCCTGCTCAACTTATAAATGTAAAGTTCATCGAGGCTGACACTAAACAAAAATAGTCTTTCTTTATTAATATTTTGTGATTTTACACTTGCATTCCTATTACCAACACGTGCGATGCAAGCCTTTTATATGGGCTGAGGTATTTGGAAGCTACTGTTAACGTGTTAAAAATTTACAAGAGAGATATATGTTGTGTGATTAATGGTTAACAAATCGATGTATATGTTGGAAATTTGTGCTAGAGATAATGTAAACAAATATAATAAAAGGTTCTTGATATAGAAGAAGTTCCTTATTTTACTGGCAGTCACTGTACATTGAGTTTTTTTGATAACTTACAGCATTTGCATATTTCCAGAATTCAAAAGATGGCAAAATAGTCTAACCAACTCTTTCATCTCAGAACAGCTGTAAGTTTTCTGGTTGTCTTAACTAAAGACTCAGTATTAAGTTACTGCATACTTGGGAGTTTTGGTTTTTGTTTTTGATAGTAATACAAGAGAGTCTGTACTATTAAAAAAGATAATGGAATGACTATCTACTACTACAAAAGATAATAAAATTCTTACGGTCCTTATTTTGTTTGAAGGCTATGATTTTGGTTTCTTCATTAGGTTTGTAGTCAATGGTTGCCATTTGGTTCTGTTTTCAGTTGTTTTATCTGGTACTTGGAAGAGACTCCTCTTTGTAGTTGGTGCAACCCTGTCTGTGGCATCTGTGGAATTTTAGTCTATAGTGTACATGTTACTTTTGCCTTTTACGTCATGTGGCCGGTCATTTGGGTTGAAATGTTGATGTCATCCGTTGGAGTTGGAAAGTCTACATCAGTGACTACAGATGGAGAGTCGAGGTCAGTTGTTGTCGAGGAATCGAAGACAGATAATTTCATAACGGTATTCCGGTGGATTCTGTTGTTTTTGTGTGACTTTGAGGTAGAAGAGCATATCTTCTTCAGATTCTATTGTTATCACATTCTTTAGATGTTCATTGGGGTTCTGCAATATGGAAAATGGAGTCTTGTATTATATGTTGATGTCTTCCTAAAGAAATTGTTACATGGTAGTAGGAGTATGGTTTTACCTTTACAAAATGGTTCATTATGAAGTTGGTGTTACCTTTCCGTAGTGCCTCAGCCGCTTCTCCTATTATGCTCGCATCTAATCCCCCAAACTTGTCTTCAAGGCGAATCAAAGCATTTGCTCTGTAGAGGGAAGTTGATGACATTAGATGATGATGTTTGTTAAGAACGAGCTATTGTTTTTAGTGAACACTAAAATCTCGATTTTAGTGAACACTGGAATCTATATTTAGAGGTGTAAATTACCTTGCCATAGCTTTTGCATGTTGATGTTTGTGGAAGCAGAAGCAGCATTTGTGAGCCTCTCCCGAATCTGCATTAGATGTCTTTTTGCAATTGCTCCATAACATGTACCAAAATCTCTGGTTGTTCGAAATAATTCTCCAATGGGCTTTTATGCAATAGAATTTTTTCTGTACCAACCCACGTATGTGTAATTGGATGACAAAATTAGTATGTGAGAATTTGTTTGGGTGTTTTAATTATGCTGAAATATGATAAGAGAATCTATCCATGCTGTATACATTGAAAGATATATTTTTGAAAATACCCCCAAGGAGACTCCTAGCAAATCAGCAAGTGATGCGAACTTGTTTTGAGTTGGAGGTGAAACTTTTGGCAGTGTAACTGCAACAAATGATTTTTTCTCTGTTAGTTTCTCAAGTTGTTCCTTGTTTGCATTCATCCTGTAGGAAAGGTATGGATATAAATATTTTTAAAACGATTTTTATGTTGGGGAAAGAAGTTCAGAATTTAGGAGTGAGGTGTGAAAATCACTCTCTGTAATTTGCTACTGCAACTATTCTAGCACTGATGAAAGGAGTACTATTGACCTTAGTGAAAAGTGCAAGGCCTACATAGGAAATGAAGCTGAAGTCGGCATGTTTTTCAGTAAATGTAATATCATATGAAACTAAATGCTATATGCATATCAAAGGTACCGTTATAAGGAAGAAATTTTTAAGATCAGTGGCCCATAGCACGGTTTGGCTGTGAGATTTTCAGCGATAGCAAAGCCTTCTCGTTGAACGAAACTCTCCCATGGTGTTAGCATTATAGTCTAGAAGTGTTTATCAATCAATGTAACATTTTGAAGACATGCTTGTGCGTCAAAGTGGGTTTGGATGATGCTTTTTTGGCTAATGTCTATGGCAACACCTATAACACATGTAATGAAGATAGAAGATATTTCTTATGTATAGTGCATGCGGTAAAGTTGAAAAGGAAGAAAATAAATAGCAAGTATTAAAGAGAAATAATTTAAATTATCTTGGTAAAATAAACAATTATTATTATTTATTAATTTTTTTTTCATGTTATTATTCTTCAAATAACATGAAATTTCTCATTAACAATTCACATCTCTAAAATCGTACTTGAAAAGGTGAATCGACAGTGCGGTAGAGAACTAGTTCTTCAACCGTGAATGACCACTTTGAATGGGAAATTACACAAATGAAGGCATGAGAAGACGCACGATACTTCCCAACCGGTAAGTGTGAAAATAGGGTACCAAAAATGAATACTATACGGGGTCATCGTCTCTTCATAGTAGAGGCAAGACAGCGAACACGAGGAACAAATACTGAATCACTGAAGTACTTAACTTACCTTTGTTGGGGTAGGAGTAAAAGTAAATTATCTAGTATATCGCAGTGCCTTTTGCAAGAAAATAAAAAAGTACAGTCACTACACGTTTTGGCAGCAAGGAAAAAGAACTAAAAAGCAAAGTGTGAAATTTATCGTAGTGCATCTAGAGCAGTAAAATATAATATAAAGATGGGCAACATTAATAAGTGCAAAACTAGTAGAAGATCTAGTCCTACTTAGCTCTAAAGTAAATAGATAAATCTTCGAATGATCTTTATAAAGCCTCAACTACATAGGATATAAAGAGTGATACTCACTGCAATAGTTATATTGTGCTTTATAATGTTTGGTGATTCGTAAAGCTGCTGAAGCACGTCTAGTGACTAGCACATTCCATGTTAAGAAAAATATGAATGATTTTTTTACAATATAAGCTCTTGTTTATTACAATGTAGAAGACTCTATTTATATGGTTAGAAATAACAATAAAAGAACATAATTGTACACGGAAAATAATCCTACACTAAAAGGAAAAATATAATGGAAATATTCTATACAATATTTCTATTTTTAACACTTTCCCCTCAAACTCAATATGGTATAGAATATCGAGTTTGAAGAAATCGATCCAATCAAATCTTCCAAACTGATCTAGAATGAACTCCAAGCACTTGAGGTTTTTGTCATTATTGATGGAGATAAGTGGCTTCTTGTTTTGGAAGAAAATATTTGATGGACATTTTTATTTATTTTTTAATGTTTTAGATTTAGCAAAAACATTTTAAGTTGCTAAAACAATAGAAAAATATAGGAAAAGCGGGTAAAGGTCAAGGTACCGACCATCCAAAAAAATAAAAATAAACCTCTTATTTTTTTCAAGAGGCAGGATGAGAACCGATAAAGTTCTAGGTACCGATTCTCCGTAAGTTTTTTTTCCTTTTTTTTAATAAGAAAACCCTTGAATTTTTGTCAAGGGTCACGGGAAGAGCTGGTAAATTTCAAGGTACCGACTCTCTTTTTTTTTTTTAACATAAGAAAACCATAGTTAGTTTAAGGGACAAAGGAGAGTCGATAAAGTTCAATGTAACAACCCTCCAAAGTTTTTAAAATTAAATTCCCAAGAAAAGGGGGGGGAAACAATTTTTTTTTCTTTTAAACAACTTTAAAAAAAATTATAACACGAAAAGATTACCGAATCTGTGAGAGTTTGAAATTTTTTTTGGGTTTTCTTGAATTTGAAGGCAGCTTCTGGGGGAATCCCTTTTTTTCTTTTTTCCTTTCTTTTGGATGTGTCTATGAATCAACAGGTAGCCCAGCAGCCAGCTCAATCAATTCCAACCTCCTTTTTTTCTTTCCTTGCATGTAGCTTGCTTCTAGCCGCAATTTGAATATAATGATAGCCTCAATTTTTCACTTTTCAGTAGGGATCCTAAGCAGCCCACCTGCGTGTTCTTTCCAGCCGGCTGAGTTTGAAGGAAGCTTCTGGAATATTGGCTGGGAATTATATTTCAACAAATATGGTGAGAAAAAAATTGATTAGGCGAGCAGCTATTTAGAATCGAATCTGTTCTGATACCATGCTAAGAAAAATATGAATGATTTTTATACAATATAAGCTCATGTTTATTACAATGTAGAAGACTCTATTTATAGGGTTACAAATAACAATAAAAGAAAATAATTGTACACGGAAAATAATCTTATACTAAAAAGAAAAATATAATGAAAAATATTCTATACAATACTTTTATTTTTAACACTCCAGACCTGGAAATAGGAGTCGCGTTACTAATCAGGTTCTGAACATCAAAGAAACTTTAGTGCACAACATTTAATGGTGCATCTAACCTTCTGATTGAAGTGGTCAAGGACATGAATGCTTGACTCGTCACTGTCACATGGACGGATCGCATATCTTGATGGAAGCATCTCAGCTCTTATTGTTAAATCAAATCACTAAGAATCAAAATTGGATCGGTTATTTGAGCAGAAAATTGAAATTTGCAGAACAATAAAAATCGAACACAAAGATATATTTCGCCCTAAAAAGGGTCTAGATGTTTAGCTTTTCGACCTAATCACCCGTTGAGCATCACCACAAGGCGATAAAGCTCAAGATTCACTAAGTATCAATCAAGAATAGTATAAATGTACGAAGAAACCAAGGGTTTCTTCAAGTTCCCTTTCCCCTCCTCACACCGAACAACCCAAAACTACCTCTCAATCACTAATAGACTGTACTACTACAATCATACTACATCACTAAGAAATCAGATTGAGAAGAACACCAAAAATATTTGGATTTACAGTAAAAACGAAAAACCCTAATCTTTTACTCAGAGAGAGAAGAAAAACAGGCGAAAGGGCACACGGTGTCTCGTAACCAGAATGAGGGCCAAAACCAAGTTAATTATCTGAACAGCCAAACGTCGCACACCAAGGGCCAAGATACAGCCACATGGACGATTGATCTCCACCCTTTAAAGGAGGCATTCACGCTTCTTCTACACAAACACGTTTTAGAACCCGGGAATATAATGGACCCAAGTTTACTCAAAACATTTGGGCCAGAAAGAAATAGTGAGGCAACCCATAAAATAATAACAAAAAACTATGAAGTTGCTGCT